GGGGGGGGGGGGAGAGAGGCGAAGATGATGCTGCAGTTGTAGCAGTTGTTGTGGGTGGAGGTGGTCGAGGTAAATTCTCGGCGATTTTCGTTCGATTCAGTATGGACGTCACCCCAAAACGAGGGTCAAGAAAAACCGCACTCTCATTTCAACCTGATTTGACGGCCCTATCACCCTATAAACTTTCGGTGCGCGTCGCATTTCGCGCACCCGTCACATTGGCATCTCGATATTCGAAAGGTGGACACGCATTGTGTGTTTTCCAGTGCCGTTCAATAACCGAATCCCTTCTACACCGTACAGCCGAAGGCAATGGCTGTCGAAGCTGCGAAGCATCATCCTGACTTTCGTGCGTTTGTCATCTGCTACCCGCGGAGCGTGAATAACTCACCGAATAAGTCAGCCTCGTACGCAGGGAGAACAGCGTAGACCCCCCCCATGAACGTGATGGCCAAGAACGTGGAGCCGATGAACATGCCCAGCGGGATGGCACTCTGACGCGGGGGAAAAACACACACGAAGGTTCAATTCACAAAACAGACGCACGTCAAGAAATCGTCAGTGGCGGCGTGAGAGCATATCGTGTCACATTACAGAGCAGGGCAGTGTATCGCCTTGCAACCGTACAACCTCTACGACGGAAACATGCTGCGCGTAACAGGTTTCGGCTTGTCCTGGAGTCTCTCCTTGGCTAAGCGATGCTACGCCAGGGTTCGGTTGCAGCGAATGCACGCTACAGGCACGGGCGGTGCGGTGAGCCAACGACAGCTTGTTTCATCGTGTGTGGTACACGAACTCACCCCCGTTGCGATGACGTTGTGCACGATGGCAGGGTCCGCCAGGTACAGGGGGACCGATCCCAGGGTGAACTGCACCCGGCGTGGTGCGGCACAAAGGGTCAGGAGTGGAGACGACGCGCGACGACGACACACAAGGTGAGCGAGGTACCCGCTGCAATAGTAACGGTCCCATCAGTTACATTCGACACGATCGCAAGAAGAACTGTCCACGGAAAAAAAGGCGCGTGTCGTTCACGCTCCGGCACCGCGTGCTCCACATGCCGAAAACTGTCTCTTGCATGGGTACCGTAGGTTGGATTAGATATCACACCCCCTGGACCGATTTTCGAATTTCGGTATCTCGGCGGCAAAAGCAGTTACGGTGCCGAAAATGGCGGCGATGGAACCGTACCGTCGAGGGCCACGGTAATGCCTGATACGGTTCCCGTTGTCTGCCCGGGGTGGGCCTGAACGTGATTCAGTAGCAGGCGCGCAGATCCGAAAACGCATCATTCAATCTCAGCATCCCCTTTGTCGTGGAGTAATCGAGTTTTGGAAATCGGTACAGGGGGGGCGACATCTTCTGCAACCTACGGTAAGAACCGAACACACCAGCAACTACGACAGTGCTCAGAGGAACGCCCGTGCACAGATCAACACGAAGGACGTAACTCAAGGCGTGCGCTGGAAAATCGCTTCCATCGTAGAGGCCCGTTGCCATTTATCTCACGTCATGAGACAGAAAAAACAAAAGACATAGAGTCGAAAAGACCGCACGCACAATCTGGAAGGTCAGCTTCCTCCCGAACTTGTCCGAGAATGCTGCCCATCCGATTCGGCCACCCAGGCTCCCCAGCGCCAGCATCTGCGGAAAGTCAAGCATGGCAGAAGGGGCTGAATGAAACAACTCACCACCATGCAGTCGCCGCTAACACTGTCGGGCTACAAAAAGCGTCCGGTGGGAGAGACACAGCAGTTCTCAACAGCTTGCCATCCCACGGCACGACAGAACGAGCGATGGATGGATGTTTCAGACACCCCCACACAGGGATATTAA